CGGGGCTTGCGGAGCGCGGTGCAGAGGCTCGGGAGGAGGGCGGGAGGACGATCGGGAGCGGAGGTGGTTCCGGGGTTGAAAATAGGCGGGATCTTTGGCCACCCCGCCCCATCCTGGAATCGGGGTACTCCGCCTTCCCGAGCTCACCGAGAGCGCCGCGCTCACCTGAGACGCCGCCTCCGCTCTCCCCTCGCTTAGGTCTCTGTGGTTTGGACGCCTGTGGGGTGAAGAAGGTGACCCCTGTGGGCAGCATCTGCCCCTTCTCCCAACACCCCCAGGCTCAGCAGCTTCTCGGTTCCCGTTTCCTGGCCGAAGTTAGACGCCGGGTATGTAGGTGCGGAGCGCCGCCCTAGAGAGAAGAGCTTGGCAGAGGCCCGGCCGACACCGACCACGGAGAGCGCAGGACCCAACCTGGCGGAGGCTGCGAACAGAACATGGAATATCCCCCCTCTACCACCCCCAGTCCTCTCCCCCTTGGAGCTGGAACAGGGGAACACCCTATTAACCTCCTGCTGCTGCGGGCTTGTTCAGGAGATATTTCTCAAGCCTGGGGCTGCTTGTTTTTTAAAAATAATTTATTTCCATAGTAACAGCTCCTGCCTAAGGAGCATGTGTGGAGGGAGTGGTAATGAGCAGGGAGCTGGCAAGGTAGCACTGGACTATCAATAGATTTACCTAGAGGACCCTGCCATCCAAATATCTAATATTCCAACAAGCACCCACAAATTGTGTTACAGGTACACCTTTTCCTAGATTTATGGGAGTGGATTCCATCCCTACAGGACAAGGGTTTTTCATTGCTTTCTGGAGGCAGGGGAAGGAAAATCCTACAAAAGGATTCAAAGGAAACTCCATTCCCCAAGAGGTCCTTCTCTACATACACATTGTAAGGACTTTGGTACACAGTGCCTTCCTTAGAGAAGTAAACAGGGAAAGTATTAAATATCACCTAAATCCAGTTGGTAGCCTGAGGAATGAGCACTTGGGAGTAAGTTTGCTCTTTAAAGTGTAGAGTTGCAGAACTAGGCGGAACCTGGCAGGTCAGCAACAAGGTGCCTAAGCCAGAGGAGGTGGTGGGTGGTGGGGAAGCTGGAGCATCCCTGAATTTCACTGTAACCTTGCTGTGGGCCTGCCCCATGCATCATCGTTTAACTCTAAAAAGAGCAGAGGATTCCTAGAGTGTGGGTTTATAATCTTGAGGGGAGGAGAAGACATGAAACGAAGGGAGGAGAGAATTCAGGGCCAGAACCTAGGAATGCAGGAGGAAGCTATTAGTGGGCAGAGCAGCTAGAGCTAGAGGAGCAGGTTGGTTCCACAGGAAGTTGTCCAGGTGCAAAGTTTCACTATGAAGACCCTCTTCCCCCAAGAACCCTTCTGCAGGAAACCTCTGACCTTCCAGGGGCCTCAGTTCTGAGATCTTGGATTTACTTCCTCAACTCCTCCACTGAGCACTCGCTCCTCCCCTACCAGATACTGCTTCACAATTCAGTCTCCCACAAGTCTCCCTTGTTAGCTCTCCCACTCTTCCTTTCTCTTGTTGCTTAGTCCTGTAGCACTTATTTCATTCTGCATAATGGTCTAGCTGGGTGTTTATATGTATGCTTTTCCCACTCACCAGGAAGCTGCTTAAGAGTGGAGTCC